TCTGTAGAGACACGTATGTACAGAAAGTGTTGTGCACTATTTTCAAAACTCTATTGAAAAGTGCAACAAACAAACTTATTCCAAGCTCTTTAGTAAGAAGACACGTACACGTATTATTTCCAATTTGTCACATTTGTATAAACTATTTCAGCTTCCTTAGCAAAAATCCCAAACAGTATATGTAAATATATCACATCTTCAGATGGAGAAACATTTTATATGTAAAATGGCCTGAGTGTAAATTTAGCCCATTCAGGACAAATTTGTGCTGCTTGTAAAAAGCACATTAACTGCTTGAAAGCAGTTTTACAGCGTAGACCTTTTTGAGATATCAGTATCAAGGAGATGTAACTTCTTACTTTGCAATATTTAGACAGTTTACTTAGCAAAAGCCAACAAAGTAAAGCAAAATGAAAGTCGTAACAGGAAGCATTATCCACAAATTATGAAAAAAATTCTGACCAAATCACTTTAACTTTGAAGTCTTTTAGAGCGCTCCATTTCTACTTACTCCAATCCTCTTGATGCTCTTGGTTTCCACTTTACTCCTTTTTCTATAATGCTTGAAACCAGACCAGCCAGTTGAGCAGCAGAACAATGATAACTGAGCCAAAGTGAACAAAAAAATACTATTCAAATGTGTTTACTGGTAATGAAGGTGGCATTTTCAGAACACAAGGATATTCAGCATTATTGTGCTGAGTACCTTTTTTTTTTCACTGGCTTCCCCTGGTCACCCACCACATAATCACACACACACACACGCTCAGGTTTCAGGTTGGAGATCCCCTGTGTGACTAAGATAGGGAAGCCCATGCAGGTGTGTTTGTGAGTGACTCAACCCTGAAACAGAGAGATGGAAAGGTGAAGTGGGCTAATTGTGTGCTTTTTGACTGGGTCTTCCCTTTGATACAATGCATCAACAGAATCCCCTATTTGCTGAAAACAATGCAAGACTGAAACTTGAATTAATTTGTAATAAATATAAAAGTGACTTATTGAAAGCAAAAATAGGGTCAATGACAATCTGAATTTCGAGGAATTATTGTAACAGTTGAAAGAAAGACAAAAAAGACAGACAGAAAGAAAGAAAGAAAGAAAGAAAGACGCTAAATAAGATTAACAAACCAAACAAAACGGTGTCCTCTTATTACTCTCACTCCCCCCTCTTTTTCATTCTTTCTGTCTCCTCCCACCCATGGAACAGATCACCCACAAAAGCGCAAAATGTCAGCACTCAGTGCCCATTACCAAATTGCTGCATTTATTTTCCAGCACTGAACCGGAAAAAGGGCTTCGAGTTGCGCCATAGCAGCTGTTGCTCTACTCGGTTTATCTGAAGGGGGTTTCACTTCCGTACAGCTCTTAGACAACATTTCACTTGAAATGACACAAGCTGTAACGCTTTATGGTTGCTACGTTCTTCTTTCCTTTTGCTAGAGTTGTTAGCTCAATATAGCTTTATAAACTGTGAATAAAACTGATAAGATTTAAACTGAAGCAGGTAGGAACACTCTTTGAAATGAATATTCTAGAAATTTAATGAATTCAAATTCCTGTCTTTTCCCATAATGAAAATTGTAGTATCTTTTGTTAGCTCACAAGCGGTTTCCTTTAAATTTTCAGTCCCCCAAGTTCCCCAAGACCGAAAAAAAGACCTGATAGCCATTATCTTTAAGAATGACTTCATGCTGTTGCTCATGCACAGCATAACAAAACAATAAAAACATAAAAAAAAGTTACTTTGTTCATTTTTCACAAGATTAAACTCATGCGCTGTACCCTCCATCCAATAGAAGAAGTACTTGTATGAATATGTGTGAATGGATGAAAGAGGCAAGTTATATAAAGCGCTCTGAGTGCTCAAGAAGAGTAGAAAAGCATTACGAACCAGTCCATTTACCATTCAGACCAATGTCACTGAACATATTTTCCATTACTTGTTTCAGCAGGTGTACACATGTAATAAAATGAATTATTCAGGTTTGACTAATACTTCAAATTATTTTACATAAGTTTGTATCTTTGCTCAGAAGTATGTCTTGATGGATGCTTAATCATTCAGGTAAATAAATCCCAAAAAGTTGATTCTGTTCATCTGGACTGGGCTGTGAGTTGATCAGATCCTGACCTCACAGCCCATTGTTCATTCAGTAATTGTGCAAAGGTACTGTTGACGAAACGTTTCTCCCACTTAAAACGCTACGTCCAGATGAACAGAATCAGCTTTTTGGGACGCTCAGAAGTATGTTTTGTGATTTTGTTCAAGGATTCAGTGCACAGACAGCAACATGGCGCTAAGTCATTTTGCTGCCATCTAATGGTGTAAATATCGGTCTTGTGGAAGCGTTGTAACACTGCGCAATCGCATGCCTAACATTGGATCTTAGGGATGTTTGCCTACACAGTACTTTTAAATAATTTGGAACAATGAAAATATTGGAAATTGTCATAAATTAGTCGAGTATAAAGGTAAAAATCTTAAATCTTAAATATAACATTCACAGTGATTATAAATTGAAGAGGACAACAATCTTTATCCAGAACTTGAGAAGATGGGAAATCACTAAAGTGATTATTAGTTTATATAATAATAGTATATTTTATTTTTTTTAAATTAATTTATTGACGTTATATTTGTGTTATATCTTGTGCTTGTTACAGTTTCAAGGCTTTTTGCCCGTATTTCAGAACATGGTGATGTTAAAAACTGGGGTGTAAGATGTAAGATAATGTGAAGTCTTAGAAAAGGCCTCTGAGAGACCCTGATGCTTGCTGTTTTACTCTTAACTAAACTGTTATATTTCTCTAAATTAGTTTAATCTGAGAGATTAAAATATAGCAATGTTTGCAATCTTTGAATGTTTAAATTACAGCAATCATTCACCAAAGGCAGGTCCAATTCAAATTACATAGCAATGACAAAGTGACTGTTAGGAGTTCATGATGAAACTTCAACAAAGAAAAGTTTGGTATAATGCACCATTTAATTTGTGCAGAATTGGTGTAGAGTTGCGTGAACTATGTTCGTTGTGCATCGTTTTCACTTCCTATCTCATCCATTTTCAGCCTACATACTGCGCACTGCTGCATTTGTGTGCCAATAGTTTGTGGATGAAGTAGTGGTGTTCAATGCTTCAAACCAGAGGTAGAGGAGTGAAGTGCAGATTGGGTGGGTTACAAACATTGTGCAGACCACGATCGTGTTGCAGGTCTCTGCAAGACTCTGCTGCAATGGTCCCATTTGACAGAGCAGAAAAGAAGGTTACAGCTGGGGCGGGGTTTCATATCATGCTGAATTATCTCCCAGCAGACTTCAATAAACACGAAAAGGACGTGTTTAGCTCCTATTCTCGTCTGCAAGATTAAAATGGACCAAAAATGGCTTCTGATTCTGGTGATTGTGGTGTCATGTCAGAGTAAGTTGAACTTAATTATTAAGTATTATCTGATTTGTTTGTTTTTTTGTTTATTGTGTATTGTTCGCAGACACAGAATGTTTTTTTTCTTCTCTCATTTTATAAAATCTTTTAGAATTCACTTCAGGGACTTTCAAAGCAAAGGAAGGGAATAAGATTGATATCAGCTGTACACCTAAAGACACAGTGGCGGCCAGCATGATTGTCTGGTTTCGAGTTCTAAGCAATCACATGGAATTCATTGGGTCTTTCAGCAAATCTGGCATAAGAAAGGCCTCAGCAAAAAATTTTGATGAGCTCTACACTTACACAAATAATCGTCTATCACTGAAGTCCTTCAAAAAAACCGACGCTGGCCTATATGGCTGTGCGTCACTTATCCAAGGTAATACACTGGTGTTTGGAGACACAACACAAATATCTGCAGGTAAGTTATGTTTCTTTGTTTGGTTTAATTTATTGTTTTGTTTATTGTTTTAGTAGGTTTACACATAACTTTAACTTCTTCTTTCTTTTTTAGATAAAACTGAAGATAAAACTGAAGCACCACCAACATGCACCACCAAACCGAGTGTGCCCAAAATTGTAACCTGTGATTGTGAAGGCAAGACAGCAGAAGGCAAGTGTTCAAAATCAGTGATGTGTTATAACATTTATCATATTCATGTTTAAAATTCTGTGAGTAGAAAAAGTTGATAAACAAGGATGGTTCATTTTCAGAAGGGGAGTCCAGTTCTGCTTTTAATTGTAGTCCAATAATGCTGGGAGCTCTTTCTGGTGGCTGTGGCCTTTTTCTTCTGCTCCTCATCGTCACCATATTGTACTGCAATCGTAAGTGCATCTTCAATATGAAATCTACATGATCTTCACGTGCATAAAATTTGGAACTGAATAATATATAAAATTCTGTCATTTTCTGCACTTGGAAAGCTGAAAACTATTGTAAAATCTATATTTTCACCTCAAGTTTAAATCATTTCAATTGCATGTAGGGATAAGGACACGGAGATGCCCACACCATCACAAAAGAAGGTAAGTTATTCCTTTATTTATTTTTTTAAATTTAACATTATTGTTCCATTTTAGTCTAGGAATACAGTCCATGAATAAATGAGGAATACTTAGTTATTAGTCCAACATCAGGAACCACACCCAGACAGCAAAATGACATTTTAGACTTTATTTTGTTAATATTGTTCAGCAATTTTCTTTCTTCTTATTTTCATTAATATTTTAATTTTGAAAAAAACTTATTATATAATATTAATATTTGAATAACAAAATTAAATACCTATACCCATAGTATATTATGATTGTTGTTGAATGTGTTTTTTCTCCCTATTTCCAATTACACTTGCAGTCTATTTGAAGAAAACAGTCCCTTTTTACATTAAAAAAGACAAAGGTTACTAATTATTATTTGTATTAATCATCTAAATTTACATCTCTTTTTTTCTTTTAAAATGTAGACCTCGAACGGCACCTCCTGCAAAAGAAGTGATGCCCGGCAGATATGTTTAATCTAAATGGTGAAATTTCAGACACTTCTTTTTTTTCTTTAACGCTATTGCTGCATCTTCTCATCCTATTTGCTAAAGTCAGCCTAAAACATTTTCTTTGTTTGTGAAAATATGAGATGGTTTTAAAGTGGTTGTGTATTCAGCGCATAAATGGAAAGCCTTTTATTGCCAACATTGAGTTATAATTTTCATGTGGCTTGATGGCTAACAACACTGTTTTGTCACAGGTAGATTGAACCCTTTTAATGATAATTGTGTGGTTTAAAGAGTTTATTTTGCAAATCCACATCAATTCTTATGGTTACGGGTACGGCTGAAGATGATCCTGAGAAGAATTCATTTTTGTTTCTGAACTGTGAGCAATAATTGTATATAATTCTTTTGAATTTAAATATTTTTTATTTAATTTTTTGGGAAGTTTTAAAAGCAATAACAGTGTGCTTTTGTTTTGCATTCTGCACACACTATTTGAATTGCTGCACTCGCATTTAGTCATCAAAACAATTTAAAGCAAATTTTTTTTTTGGCTTGTTTAAAATTACACTTACTCGAAAAGCATTTGATTTTATTCATTCACATGTTTTTAAGACTGTAGAGTAATACTGAAAAGAACAAATATGGCACGTTCTTTTGTTTTTGCTTTTAACCGTTGCACATCCTCAAAAAAAAAAATAAAAATAAAAAATTCTCGTTTCTATTTTCAACATAAAACGCTGTACAAAATAAAATAAAAAAATAAAACCACTCGGAAAAGCATTCCTTCTTCAATGAACTGTATTTGACTTTATTAGATTTTATTTTTCCACACATCAAACCCACTCATTTGGATTCCCATCAGTCATTCAGGGTCTTGGCACCAAAGTAGATTTGAGCAAAAGACATTTGTTTTTTAAGCCCCCCACTTGAGTCTAAAGGAAGTGGAGTGCTACAACTGTAAGCAGAGCGCAAAACCACAAGTCAAGAGCGGATAAAAAAATTCTTTCATAGGAGATTACACTCCCACGCACTTTAATACATACACATTTCCCCTTGCACCTTTACAAACACATTGTTTGTTCACCTTTCCTACAATATTTAGTTATTTTCTCCAGCATATTAAGTCAGTTAATGTTATCTTTTGTTTCTCTTTTAAGGTACAATAATAATAAAATGATACTGCATGATTTATTTATGTATTTATTTTTTTCAATTTAGTTAGCATTTCCCCTTATACATCTCATATCTTGGCTTAACTCTACAAAAAAAGGGTGGAATTATAGTGACTAACTTTACAATTGAAAGCAGTAGCCCTTTGCAAATTACAGTGTTGTGTTACGTAGAGCAAAACTCTTTTACAGCTCACAAACAACGGCAGTTTACAAAGCTTGTAAACATCCTGCTTCAATAAGTGCACTTTTGAACGTCTTTTTTTTCCTTTCTGCAAACCCAAAAACACAGAAAAAGACCTACTTGACAGATATTGCTCTGTTTAAAGAGAGACATTTGCAAAACGCTCTCCAATACAGAATTAATTAGAACACCTCCTGGGAAATCCACATATTCAATAATGTAAACTATGTATTGTTTAAAATATAAGCGAACTAAGCTGTACACTAGTGTCTTATGTAATGGTGTCCAATCATGATAGAAAAACTTTTTGTGTGTGTACATCTGGATTGCACAAAACTTCCCGGTGCTATACACCTACTCCATACTGCACTCACACAAGTTGACAGTCTCCACTGCTCCAACTAATGTCACAACACCAGCAGGTTTAGGTCACCGGTGTTGTAATAGAAGTGTTTTGCTGGAGGAAAAAGAAAAAAAACGAAACAAAAAAAACCCACCTGTCAACTGTGATGTACATGCGTGATTCTTGGCACCCAAAAACGTTTTCCCACAGTTTCACGTCTTTCATTTCCATCCAGTTTTTAAAAGTCTCTTTTATATTCTCTAAAAAAACCCAAAAAGCCCAAAACAAAACTTCTTATCTTTGAACTGTAAAGCAGATAGGTGTTTAAGTGTGCGTGCATGTCCGTTTGTGCTTCTATGTGTGTGCATTGCGTAAATGTTATGGGTATGTGTAGGTTTTTTTCTTGACTCCAATATACATTCTTAACAATTTACAAAAATAGAATCGTTATCCAGAGAGCAGCTCCCTCACCGATGCATCCACGTGGCCTGGAGGACAGATTTAAAGCGACAACCTGTAACAAGTGATATTCAGCAGTCAGTTTAAAGACTTGACATCTATCCTCCTAATATTCAGGGTTTTTTTTTTTTTAAATCACTTAAATATGACAAATCTTACCATGTGACCTAGCTCTTCTTCTTTGTAGAAGTTGGCACAACGTCTGAGCTTCTCTGAGCTGATAGCTGGCCAGGGGCAGATGGTTCCTCTGCTTGTTGTTTCTGATGTTTTTAACAAATAAGTATTAAAAATGATAAAGAAGAATTCATGCCTTTGCAGTATTACAGGCTGAAATCAACATCAGGCAAAGCAGCGTGAGGAGCGTGAGCAGCTTGTCACATGCCACTATGTGGAGGCCCCTGCAGAAATTAGAATTCAATAACTGCTTCTGCTGTGAGACTTTGGCTCAGTTATAAGTGCACAGATCCAGTGTGTCAGATACGTTGCTTATTCAGCCTAAGTTAGGTCTTCATGCAGCAGACGATTTGCTTACTTTAGATTTTGACTTTGACTTGCTCTTTCCCTGTAACAAAGTCGACACCTTGATTAGGCTCTACAACTCACACTGCTCCATGACGTAGTGAGCACAGACACAGTAACAGCTAGAAAGGAAACCTATAGGGGGCGCCATGTACCAATGAAAAATAAATGTTCTGCAATCATTCTTCTGAAGTGCAGTTTAGTCAGAAGCGTTTTTCTTAGAAGCTTCCAAGAAAAAGATGTACATTTGGTCCTGTTTCTTATAGTAAAGTGTAATATTTAAACACTTCTAAATGGTCATATAGATTTTTACCTTTGGTTTGTCCGTTTTAGATTTGCCTTTTACTGGATCTGGAAGCAGGGTATCAGACAGGGACTCCAGAACAGGACCAGCCATCGGCTAGAAAAGCAAGAATAAATAAAAAACAGTTAATAAACTCAAAAAGATCATAAGAAAGCATTTTCTAGAAGTGGTTTCATGTTCAAAGATGGTATAAAACAACTAAGTAAAGACCATTTTTAACACTGTAAGTAATCATCAGTGATAGTCGCAATCACAGCCTATTAGGTGGCTCTCCCTGGTATGAGCTCATTGTTCCTTTTTCAGGATGAGCAAATAATCTATTGTGAAAGTAAAGATTAGGACTATGGTCGTCACCAACTATGAGTCAAACCTCACAACGCTCAGTTAAGGTGAGACAGACACGTCTCACACCTTGATGGAGTTTAGCTAATATTAGCTAGAAGGAGTAGAAATGGTAGGTTTTATTTCTCCACTACCTTCAGAGGAGCTGAGTCCAGCGCAGGAGGTTCCAACTTTGTTGTGGCAGCACACGAGGTGACCGGTGCATCAGGCTTGGGTGCATCAGAGAAGTCACTGGACAGCATTTCTAAGGCTGTTGTGTCATCCATACTCTTCTACAGAGTGTTAAAAAGGGAATGCTTTGTCATCTTTCACATATATCATTAATGTTTATTTTATTTTAGAAATATTGTGTGAGGAACTGACCTCTTTGGGGATGTTGGCAGCTTTTTTCTTTGCTTCTTCCATTTTCTTTAAAATGAAATTCATGAAGTTTAGACTCTCAATAAAGCAACAAATGCTATACTACACTTTATAAATGTCCCTGTCACATGTTGCAGTCTTCAGTAGTGTATGGATGGACTAGTGGACTAATAACAAGATTATATAATGTAAAAGACTTCTGTTTTCACAATATTACACACCGACTGAAAAATACAGTTAAATGAATGAATAGTGTCCCTGATCATGTTTTGTATTGTTATTACTTCACAATATTTAATGTAATTCTCATTACCCAACCCAGCTTGCAGCAGACTATCAAGAGGAAGAACACTCTATATGTTCACATCTTTAAAGTAGGAAAGTTGTACTGAGTAAATGCATGGATTGGTAGAGAAATTGATGGACTGCTAAGTAAATGTACTTCACTTTTAGGATCTCATTTCAAAGGCTGTCAGGTTACCTTACGGTCTTCCTCAGTGGGTCGATACTCTGGTGGTAGTGTGTCATCTCTCTCTCCCATTTTAATAAGCTTCTCCTCAGCAATCGTTTTCTCCTGCAACAACAAGGCAAATCAAAACAGCTGAAGTGGCATGCAGATTTTTTATTATTATTTTAAATTATTTCTATTTTTTTTTTTTTAAACCATGCTGGCTACCTTGACGGGATCTTTAACGGGACCTGGGGCGGGCTGAGGAACAGGTTTGATATCCCCCAAGGTGTCTGACAGAGCATCAAGGGCATTGTCTGCTCCAGCTTCCAGCTGAATGTGCAAAAACCCCCCAAAAAAATATGATTTTGATGTAGCTGCAGATAGTTGTATAAAGAGTATAAGTAGATGAGAAACACTTGAGCCTTTACCTGTGGCTTTGTTTGTGTAGGAATACGAGGTTCTGACTTCACTGCCGGTGCAGCGCTGGAGGCAACCAAGTCTCCGGCCAAGGACTTAAGAGCAGCGTCTGCAGAGGCCTGAGGGGGAGACAGAATACAATCCTATGCTTAAAATCGATAATACTCAACTTGAAATGAATACTATTGCTTTCCGTGATTGGTACCTGTGCAGGAGGAGCTGACGAGCAGACAACAGGAGCCTGGACAGCAGGAGCGGCTGAAGAGCTGAAGTCTCCAGACAAAATATCCACAGCATCATCAGTATTTATCTTGGGCTGCAGGAGAAGATAAAGAGAGAAAATAAGCAGTTATTTCAATTACTAAATATACATATTCTTTATGGCTTTTTATCCATTAATAAATATCTAACTTTTGTTGCTTAGAAATAAATTTGCCCTGGGCTCACCTCAGGTTTGGGGGCAGGCAGTTTTTTGAGATCTTCCTCTTTAAATCTGTAATCTGGAGGAAGTGTATCCTCCCTCTCTCCTACACGCACACCCTTCTCCTTTTTGACTTTGCCCTCCTGAAAAAGGGGAAAAAGGTGAATGACTGGCTGGTCCAGACACTCTGTTTCTCCTAAATACAGATTTTTTTAAAAGGGTTCTAAACAGGACAAGTGTTTAAAAAAACAAAACAAATATGTGCATGGATAATTCAGTTGTACTGGTATACCATTACTGGAATAAAATATAAATATGTCACTCATAACAAAACAACACTATATGTTTTTGGGCACCACATACCGAGACAATATCCTCAGGTCTGAGTTTTGGAGACTCTGGCTTTGGTGCTTCTGTTGGCAGTGTTTCGCTGAGAGCACCGAGAGCATCCAGAGAGATGGAGTCACCCTGAGGGGTGAGAGAAGAGGAACTTCATAGGCCAGTTTTAGACAAGGCATGTTATACAGCTCTGAATGATAAATGAAGAACTAAAGCCAAAAGAAATCAGAAGGCTTTTGATTCCTCACAGTTACCTTCTCAATTTTGGGCTTTGTCTGTTGTGCGCTTACATCGACTTTGTTAGGTTGTTCCACGGGACAGACTGTTTTCTGCAGAAAGGCAGAGATGGAAAAAAGGAGTGAAAACAAA